TTGCACAAATGTGAACTCCTAAATTCTCAAAGCCCCCCCCCCCCCCCCCCAAAAGCCCCCTGGTATCAGCTCTTTATTTCATCCGCACAACGAAGGAGCAGCCCGGCCCTGGGCATTGAGCAACGTAGATCGTTCAACACTCACTCGGGGTGTGGGGCACTGACCCCCAGCCAGGAAGCGTGCAGGACCAGGACTCCGTGGCTGGTGACAGTCTCCCATCTTCCGCGGAGGCGCTCATCCATGTGACTTCCGTTAGGATGTGAGCGATGGGAGAAGTGAGAGCTTCCTAATTGTCACTCCTCTTTCTGAGTAAAGGACTCTGTTTTCTGGAGGAGAGACCACGCACCCAGGGGATGAACAGCGAGTATATTGCAAATGCATCTGCTACCTGGAACCTGTGGGTTCCGGTCCTAGTGTGGTAGACGCTGCACAGGATTCAAGGAATGGGTGGGTCTGGATCTCATTTTGTTATTTCCTGTGTTACCCAGACGAGTCGGTCTGGTCACCATGGGTCTCAAGCTGTGGCCTCCAGCCAGCAGCACCTGCACCCCTGGGAATGTGTTGAAGAGGCAGCTTGTCCACCCCACCCAGCCCTCCGACTCAGAGCCCGGGGCTTTGCCCAGCCCCCCAGGAGGTTCAGACCCTGCAGCCCTGGTTCTTGTTGATAAAGTAAGGCAACCAGCCCAGATTATATTTCAGGTCCCTTCCAGCTCTCTCTCCAGTGGCCTTGGGGTAGGGCCCGGAACAGGCAGAGTGATTCTCTGTCTTAGATCATGAACTACTCCTTGGATGTGTCATTGAAATAATTCAGCTGAAAACCAGGCACGTGGGTAACAGAAGAGAAACAGATCTCCAGACCTCCACACCCAAACCCCGTTAGGGTGCTCACTATAAAAAACCCGTGCTACCTTCCGCGTTGGTGTCATTTCCCCAAAATGAAAAGCCCCTGGTGCTTCGGGAAGGGCGCACCCCCATTTCTGTAGGGGCCGCGGGCTGTCTGATAGGACTCACTGAGCAGCATTCTGCAGGAACTAAGAAACGGCATTTCAGAGGGATGCACAGAGGTACACAGGCTTTGCCGTAAGACAAGGGAACATTTCAAGCCGTTTATCAAAGCTCACGCAGCTTCTATTTCAAGACGGGCGGGAAAAATATCATGGACCAAGAAGAGAAAATAAATCTGTACCCAGAGCGTCTCATAAATGAGAAAGCGGGGGACTGTTGGCCTCACCGGTTCTCGGAGTATTTTTGTCACAGTGTGGAAAGCTTCCCAGGCTTTCAGCATGTAATTCTTTTCGTTTTCCTGATACCAAAAGCAAGGTTGTAAATTACTTTACTGACGGTTAAAGCCAAAAGGGAAAAAGGAAACAATAATTTGAAGGCAAGAGGAGCTGGGAAAATGGAACCTGGAACCTGGGGATAAAAAAGAGGGAGAAAGAGAGAACAGAGTTCACCCACCACTACGAAGTAATTTGTTTTCCATCTGCAGTGCAGGGAGCTTCACAATTCAGGGCAAGTCCCAGAACATCAAAGGCAGTTTTCTAATCGCTTCTGCTGAGTAGCAGCCTATTTGTCAGAGACCAGAGGAATGGTGTGTTGAACATTAGAGAGAGAGAGAGAGAGAGAGAGAGAGAGAGAGAGAAAGAGAGAGGTCTGTTATGCCTGGGAGGGGTGGAGAAATTGTAGCTTTTGTTTAAAAGGATTGGACTGCAGGCCCATTATCCCTGAGCGAGTAATGTGGACGGAGGAGGACTACAGTTGAGGACCTCTGCATTGGGCATCTCTGTGAACTTCAACACCTGGATGCTAAAACCCTGGATAAGAGCCTGTACTCTGAGTATTAATTGACCATAAAGGTGCGGGTTTACTTCTGGGCTCTCTATTCTGTTCCATTGATCTGCTTTTATGCTAGTACCATGCTGTTTTGATTACTAGGGCCATGTAGTATAGTTTGATATCAGGTAGTTTTGTTCTTTCTCAAAATTGCTGTGGCTATTCAGGGTTACTTGTGGTTCCATATACATTTTTGGAATATTTGTTCTAGTTCTGAGAAATATGCCATTGGTATCTTGATAGAATTGCATTGAATGTGTAGATTGCTTTGGGTAGTATGGATGTCTTAATGACGTTAATTATTCCTGTCCACGAACATGGTATATGCTTTCACTTATTTGTATCTTCTTCATTTTCTTTTTTTACTGTCTGATCATTTCCCAAGTACAGGCTTTTTACATTCTTGGTTAAATTTATCCCAAGGTATTTTATTTTATTTTTTGATGCAGTTGTAAATGGGATTGCCAAATTCTGGCTCTATACTTTGGGCAAGCTCCCCAGACACCCAGTGCCTCAGTTTCCTTCACTGTCATGGGAGAATAATAATCAAACCTACTTTGAGAATCAAGAGTTAGTACATGAAGGTACTTGGCAGAATTCATGGCATAACACAGGCATTATTTTATTGGGAGTATTTGCTAAATAGCCACATGTTTCTTTAAAAGAACACTAAAAGTAAATTATATTATTTAACTGTAAGACCTTTTGAAATCGGTGGTGCCCTATTTGGTGGCCCCCAGGTGTGCATAAGGGTGTGTGTGTGTGGCTGATAGAAGGAGGCTTTGAAGGGTCCCTGGGAGCAAATGCAAACAAGACTGATGACTTTTGAGCCGTGGGACCTTCTCCAGGGTCAGCTTCACTAACATACAGCTTTGGGGGGTTGTTCCAGTTAGATCCAGAGAACTACTCTTTGTCATTTGGTTTCCTTTTTGTGTATTTATTTTTGGAATAGACTCATAGACCAACACTAGAAACAGGACTGAAATGAATGCCATACTTCCCTCTCTCCCATGGGGCACACTCTTCTTCATTGCTGGGACCATGCTGGGTGGCAGTTACTATTGAGCAGCCTACATTTTTCTCAGATCAACTGTCCTCAGTCTGTGTAGTGTCGAAATGCTAGCAGCACCGAAACAAATCATCCGACTTGCAAATGGTGCTGCGGTTTCCTCATCAACAAATTGGGGAGGTGGCGCCCACTGCCTGCGTGCTAGAGAGATGATAGCATGGATGACACGAAAGGACTCCACAAATAGTAACTTCCTAAGCTGCTACTTGTATTCATGAAAATCCAATGTACCAAAGTCAAAATAATACCTTTATGTGCACTGCGAGACATTCCACTGCTCTCTAAAGAACTGGCGGTATTACAAAGTCCTTCATCGCACCTTACTTTTTAGATGAAGTCTCTGATCATTGATTTCCAGCATTTTGATTCCCCCCCCCGCTATTGAACACAAACCTGACCTCTTACTCCGTAAACATCAGGTGAAAGCCGAAGCCCCCTGTCTTTAATGTGTCCGGTGAATTGCATTTTTGACACAATTATGTTTATTTCATGAGATCTGCCCCTCTTACTATAAGTGGTGGTGCTTTGCTATTTTTAAAACTTTCCAACATCCGAATAAATGAATCAGGATAAAATTCTGAATGAAAACAAAGTCGCTCCACTGAGCCACCCTGCCGTAGAGAGCGGGCAGGGATGCTGCGGCCGGCAGGCAGCGCCGCTCTGCCGTCATTTCAGACGTTGTTTGCCAGCTCAGAACATTTGCGTTTCAGACATTTCAGCAGCATGGAAAAGACAGCGTCTATGTTCTCTTACATAATTTACAGGAGCGTGGGCTGTTTGAACCTTGAGTAAGTGAACAAGAAGTCCTTCCTGAACTAGAATTAGAAAAACTACAGAGAACCAAAATGTCCTGGCAGTTCAGAGAGCCAAGCTGCTCATTCACAAGGATTTAGGAACAAAACAAAATTATGTAGTTTCACACAAATTACCTATATTAGGAAGTAAAAGCAAGTGTTTTAATGCCTCTTTAACATTTATTTTTCAGGTCTTTAACCAAAAAACAAAACAAAAACAAAAAAACTCTTAAACCACTCACCGTCTGTAGATGCATGTTCAGGACGGGGAGGCCTGGTCGTGTCTGAGGATTAACGGTGGAGCGTGGTTTGTTCCTTGGACAAGAGCCTTGTGGTTGTTGGGTGACCTTGAACCTGCGGAGAATGTGTTGGGCGTATTTGTGACTATGATTTTGTCTTCCTGGTTCTCACACTGTATGCAGTGACCACAGGTCAGCACACTCCCTGAGAGCAGGCAGGTGTCGGGACCCGGGGGCAGCTGCTTTCTATCCAGTGCCCATGCCCCAGGCCTGTGGGCTGTGTAACCTTGGACAGTTCACAGAGTCCATGGGCTGGGTGGGCACCGTGTGAGGATGAGGAAGTTAAGGTGCAGAATGAGCAGCTAATGGCCGAGATGTGGCCTCATCCCAGCTCTTTCTCCCCAAATGCTGTTGGTTTCACCACAACACAGCTCCCAGACACACAGTTGTTACATGATTTTCTTTGACCTTCAGTGTTACATCTAAGGATAATCCTGCACTTTGCTCTTCAGCTGAGTTCCTAACCCGGGTGTAAAAGATGGCGTTGCTGCCCCTGTAGATAGAAGCTCCTACCACTACCCAGCAGGTTTCCATGGAGATAGAGGTGTTCCTACTTGGTTACTTGGAGTTTGCCTTGTGGTGCTTCGGTCTTGAGGTGGGAACCCAGACCTCTGCTGGCTGGTAGGTCCACTGAGGCATTAACCTGATCCAACCTTGTGTTTTAATCACAGAATCACGTCAACCCCGCCATGGACTTTACCCAGACGCCCCCGGGGATGTTAGCCCTGGACAACATGCTCTACTTCGCCAAGCAGCACCAGGACGCCTACATCCGGGTAAGCTCACAGCCCCTCGCCGTCACAGGTTTCCTGCTGAACTTGAATTTCAAACTCACAGGGATGGAGGCATTCCCCTGAGATGAGCGGCCCCAGAGGTTTGGCTTTCATCACTCAGTGAAGTAAAAATTAAAATGAAATGAAACCCACCAGGGGCAATGACGCAAAGACTTTTCACCTCTAAGTATTCTTCATGTGATGACATTGAAAAATACAATAGCACAGCCCAGCCGGGGTGGCTCAGTGGTTGAGCATCAACCTATAAACCAGAAGGTCCCAGGTTCGAGTCCTGGTCAGGGCACATGCCCAGGTCGCAGGCTCGCTCCCCAGTGTGGGGCACGCAGGAGGCAGTCAATGATTCTCTCTCATCATGGTTGTTTCTCTCTCGCTCCCCCTTTCTCTTCCTCTCTGAAACCAATAATAAAAGTATACTTTTTACAAATACAATAGTACTGGAAAACTGGTTTATGTGGTTCAATATCTAATTATGACAGAAGCTCTTAGGCTTCAGTAACAAGGACGGAAATGAGCTCTCTACCAGAACCCTGCATGGCTCCGACGAGAGTGGAAACTGTGGACTCTAACACTCTGGAGCAGGGGCCCAGGGTTCCCTCCGGCACCACCTCTGTCCACTGCTGGAGATACAGTGAGATAAACAGCCAAGAATGGGAGAGGCGCGGAGGTGGATCCCTTTGTGGGCGCAGCAGAAGGAGAGGGGAAGATGCCCCCGCTGATGGGGCAGTGTAGGTGTGGGGAGGACCAGGTGAGGATGAGGGGGAGCGTAGGGACTGTGACAGAGGAGGCCTGCCCTTTGGGGCTGCCCCACTGGAGGTCCTGGGCTTGTGCTGACACCTGTCGCCTGTCCTCAGGGCGAGGAGCCCAGATTTGGTCAGGATGGGGTGCACCCGCCCCAGGCTGGGTGGAGCAGGATGTGGACAAATGGGACAAGAGAACCGGCGAGCAGTGCCAAGGATGACTAGGTGTCAGCTTAGCGCGTGAGGAACGAGTGTCCAGTGCAGGACGAGTGGGGTGGAGATTAGAGAAAGGCAAGTGTCTGTTACTCACCTTTTCTCTTGGTGCCTCCCGGTGGTGCTGGCTCCGGGACACCGGGGTTTGGGACTCACCCCGTGGTTCTCTGGTGATGCAAATGTGGGCGACTCCGTTGGTCTGCGCTGAAATTTCTTGCCTAAACGGGAGCACTGTCCCCTGGGGGCATTTGGAAATGTGTGGGCTTGTTCCTTTGGCTGTCACCATGCCCGGCGGGGTGCTGCCGGCCCAAACCTCTAATACACGGGACATCTTCACCATGAAAAAGTGTCTACCCAGGCGTGGCCCCCTTGACAAAGACGCCAGGCCCTGGGTTCCCTGCAGGCACTTGGTTTGAAATGTGTTTTACTGAATAGAAACAGACTCGTGGACAGAGAACAGACTGACAGCTGTCAGAGGGGAGGGGCGCTGCGGTGCGGGGGAAAGGTGAAGGGACTGAGAGAAAACCTCATACACTTTCCCATACATGCCACTTGCTAAGCTTTGGTGTCCCCTGAAATATTACTTGTAATTTGATTAGACAAAGGGTTTGGTGCATTTCTCTGGAAGATGGGAGGTCAGATCGTGGCCAGAAGTGCAATCTCCCTTAAGAAAAGCGTCTCCCTCTCTCCCTGTCTGTTGAGGAGTGACTGACATACATCACTGTGTGCGCTTACGACACAGTGTGAGGGGGGATTTATGAAGCCGGAGAAGAAAATGGTTTTGTTTTTCATAAAAGCTTCATTTGGCTTGTAATGTGTGTATATTTGTTGCGCAGATATGTTTTCTAGGAGTGTAATCTGCTTGCAAAGAAGTGAATTAATATTTGAGATACTGTGTAGTATAGCCTCCGGAAGGTAGCGTGTGAAAAAGAGCCGTGTGGAAATTGAATTCAGAATTAATGATTCATGTTTGTGGACGGAGAATGTTTCTAAAATTAGAGCTTAGTGATGCTGAATGCATTGTTAATTGCATAAGCAGCATATGTCTCATGAAAAGTAACTTAACGTATTCAGCCCATTCTCCTCAACGCACTCTCTTAAACCGTCGTAAGTGAAATGACTGTGATGGAAACCGTACGGAATTTATCTCCAGTAGGGACTTAAATGAAGAACCTACTTATACTAGGAAGACGTGGCCCTTCTTGTCCACACGCACTGTTTCTTATTGGTGAGACATTCCTGTAACTGAGATGAGTGTTTTCTCCGAAGTGTCGCTTTCCCGAGGCTGTTGGGCCCCACCTGACGCTGGGCCTGGGGATGGGAAGCGGAAGCTGTTTTCCCGAATGCCTGGGTCACGGGAACAGCCTGGGGGCGGAGACCTTGGGCAGGAGGCTTTGTGGTGGCTGTGAAAGATACCAGTGATGGTGAACTTGGGCTGCAGAACCTGGGGCTAGTGCTCTCAGACAGCTGAGTGAGTGTGCTCAGGAGCACAGCAGTCCTTTCTGAAACGTAAAAATGGTTCTTTTTCCTAAGTTTACTTTTTGTTAGGATTTGCTCTTTTTCGTGACCGAGCAGATCTGTCTGAACGCCGTGGTTTATGTGTTATTTCTCCCTGCCCTTGAGCAGACATTCGCCCTTCCCCCGACAGAGCCTCACCATTCACTTCCCCATCAGAGCCACTGAGAGGTTTTGTAAAGAAGTTGTAACGTGCGCACACACTCGCGCACATGCACACACAAATACTTCCTCTGGGCTTGACATCCCTCCACCGACATGTTGGCTCAAACACGGTGCCTCTGTCCTTCCCGAACCCATCTTGTCGCCTGCTGTTCACACTCACCTGCCACCCACATTGCCACACCCCGACCTGGGCTTCCACCGGCTGCTGTCCAGCGGGAGGCAGGGCAGTCTTCCGCCTCCTCTCAGCTCCCCGCCCTCCCACACTGGACACTCTGCCACTTGCTGTCCTCTGTCGCTGCCCATCTTGCTTCTCCCCTTGGCTGCCCTGGTCTCTCTGGTGGGTCCTCTCCCTCCGCCTGCCCATCCGATGGACACAATCCCCGGGACTGTTTTCTCCTCAACCCCCTAGGCTGCCCAGGTTACTGAGTAACCACCAAAGGCCCATCGGGGAGCGAGGTGCCTGGACTCCCCAAGGACTCCCCAAGGACCTCGTCACTCAGGAGTCTTGTCGTTGAGGAGCTTTCTGTATAAAACAGAAAGGAGGGTGGGGCCTGGGGGGAGAGGTCAGTATCAGGCACTTTCCCCGTCACTGGGAATGTATTTTGATTGGGGAGGTGGGAGAATTGGGGACACAGACCAGAGTCCTCAGCACAGATGTGGAGGTCAGGCCAGGAAAGCTTCCTGGAGGAAGCGGTCCCTGCACTAAGGTCGGCGGGTAGTTCTTAATCAGGGGAACGGAGGGAGGGAGGGAGAGGAGGATGCTAAGCGGAGGGAAGCTGAGCAAAGGCAGAAAGGTGTGTGCTTTGTTCAGGGAACCAAAGCTTGTGTTACGCTGTGCCTAAACGTATGCTACCGTGTCTACCGCCAGGAGGGTGCGCGTGGTCACGGCCAGGGAGGCAGAGGGGCCGGCTCCTCGGGAACCTGTCACTACGTAGTGGTGTCTGGACTGAGCCTGAAGGCCGTGAGGAGTTTCCGAAGTGTTTTCCATAAGGATGATGACAGCTAATTTTAGGAAAGTCACTCACCTGCCAGAAAACAAAGGTGAGACTCTCGGCCAGCAGCGGAAATCCAAGTGGGTTATGGAGAAGCGCTGGCAGCCCGCACCGGGTAGTGGCGCAGCAGCTCGAATGAGTTATTCTGGATCGAAAAGAAGCTGCTGTCTCCGGGGAAGAAGGAGGGGCTTAGTGGCCGAGCGCATGTGGTCGTGTCTTTAGTGACACCGTGTGGTCTATAAGGGCTGTTCCCGTGGAGACATGCAGACCCTTAGCTGTGTGTGGGGCATCTGTGTGGTGGGCCCGCTAGTAGGCAGTGAGAAAGGGCAGCCAAGGTCAAGTCCGCATAGACTCCACAGTCTGTATGTTATGTGTCCCGGGACCTTCGAACCCACTCTCCGTGGAGCTGTGAGGATGACCTCAGACACCGCGTTCCGACGCGCCGGGGAACCCCTGGCCACAAGCCTGCCTCTGTGGCACCTGGCACAGGGCGGAGTTTAATAATTTCTCGTTAGTTACATGAGTAAAGTCTCTTCAGTTTTTACTTAAACGGTCTCTTGCCAGTGATCAGTGTGTGTGTTACCATCTGAGAACCGTGGCTTCGTGCTTCCAGCAGTGACCAGAGGTATGTTTCTGAACGTGGATTTATGGACAGGCAGCCTGGCTTCTCCTGAACCCTTGAGTGAACTCGGAGCTGTGTCCTGGGGAGAGCAGGGATGGGATTGAATTAGCCCACACGTGGGTGGGCACAGCACACGAGGAGGAATTGTGGGTCTGGGCACCCACTGTGCCCGAGTCAGATCTGGAGTCCTTGGTGACCTCAGACTTATGGGTCACACTTACTCGGGACAGAATCGCTTATTTTCTTTTTATAAATATATATATTTTTATTGATTTCAGAGAGGAAGGGAGAAAGAGAAACATCAATGAGGAGAGAGACTCATTGAATGGCTGCCTCCTGCACATCCCCCACTGGGGATTGAGCTGGCAACCTGGGCATGTGGCCTGACTGGGAATCAAACCCTGACCTCCTGATTCATAGGTCGAATTTCAACCACTTAGCCACACTGGCTGGGCAGAACTGCTTGTTTTCTGCAGATACTTCTCCCCAGCGAGGCCTGTCTGAGAGGTGGAGCGCAGTGCCCGCTCCCTCCCGTGGTCCTGCGGTCACTCACACGTCACAGACAGGGCAGTGGCACAGAGCTGAGATGTCATGTCTTTGTGTTGTTGTTGTTGTTCTTTGTTGTTGTTTTGTTGTTGTTGTTGTTGTTGTTGTTATTGCTCTTTCTGGAATGACAAGCTTAGTGGCTCCACGGAAATATGGACTCAGAATATATATTCTTGGTGTATTTGATTCTTCACTGGAACCTGCAAAGAAACCCAAATTACTTGCTTTTTTTCATTTGGTTCAAGACTCACGCTGGCTGTTGTGGGAGCTGAGTTTCAGCTTCAAAGTAGAAGTCATGACAAGCAAACCTAAGGTTCCCAAACCGTGGTGGCCAGCTCTGAGGTGGAAGTGGGGCCCTAACGAATGCTGAAGAAAAACGCTGCCACAGTTTCAGGATGAACTCTCCATGGGAGTCACCTGCATCCTTGTCTGAGCAGAGAAGATGAGTCCTCAGTGTGGGTCAGGCAACATACAAGGGTTGTTCCCTAGAGTA